GACGGCGGGGGGGCGGGGGGCTCTGGGTTCCCCGCCTGCCTCTGCCTCCCGAGTGCTGGGATTAAAGGCATGCGCCACCAACGCCCAGCCCACTGAGCCTTTCTTGAGATGAGCTTTTAAACACAAAAAAGAAGTTCTCAGTTGACATACTTCAGTTAACAAGAAGAGTTACTCAGAATCAGAATCACAGAAGCCAAACGGCAAGGTTAGTACATTTAGAGACTTTCCCACAACTATGGACTTCGATAGCTTAGGTCGTTGTTTCATTTTGGCAGGTGGTGCTGTTTACACGCTGACTTTTACAGCCTGAATAGTACTTTCATCATGGAGTCAGTTGAGCTAAGGTCTCTGGACCTACTAAGGCCTGGGGGCACTGTTATAGAAGTTTGCCAGAACAATTCGTCTTAGATATTAATCTTGTGTACCCTGTATGGCTTGCAAATGGCATTGTGTCCTAGAAACTATCATTGTATTCCTCCTGCCAACTGCCCCAATGTTTCTGACAAGGGTGTAAAAATAAACTTGTCTCAACATCAGTGTTGCTGAGACCCCTCCAACTCGACTTGGTTTCAATTCCCACCGACCATACGAGGAGACGGAGACGCTGGTTTGGCAAGTAAGTGCTTACATCCTCCTACAGGCCTTGGTTCCTTTAACTGCTGGGGAGGGGCCCACAAGAGTCTTCCAAGTTTTGCTTCTCTCAGACATGTGAGCTTCTGCTTTCCTCCTGAAGCTCAAGAGCCCTGGCTCCTTCCAGGAGGAAACCGCTGTTCAGTGCCATACGGCTGGCAAAATTAATGACAGAGGGCCCAGCACGGGTCACTGTGCACATGGCCACTGACAGGAAGCAGAAGCTAAAACTGTAATTAAATCTGGGGAACAGCCTCAAAGGCCTGCCCCTGGAGACTGACTTTGGCTTGCCAGGTCTCACTTCCTAAAAGTCCCACAGCCTTCGCAACAAGGCCACAAAACCCAGGGAGCACGTTTTCAAAATGTGAGCACGGGTGTTGGGGACGCTATTTTAAATTCAAACCATGTTTGGGTCACTGTTAAATTCAGATTCACATTTGGCTCACAGTTAATTTCACTCATTCATTTCTTTAAAAAAAAAGATTTATTTATTTATTTATTATACAGTGTCCTGCCTGCATGTACGCCTGCACACCAGAAGAGGGCGCCAGATGTCATTACGGGTGGCTGTGAGCCACCATGTGGTTGCTGGGAATTGAACTCAGGACCTCTGGATGAGCAGCCAGTGCTCTTAACCTGTGAGCCATCTCTCCAGCCCCCATTTATTCATTTTTGTTTTTGTTTTTTTCCCTTTTTCTTTCCCATGAGCCGTGAACTCTAGGAGAGCCAGGGTCTTGTTGGCTTGAGTCACGATGTGGTCCTGAAGGTCCAGCCTGGGCATAAATCTCAGGATGTTACCATGATGTGATCAGCAGCCCTGCCCTGCTTGTGTTCAGTCTGGGAGTGAGACCCTTACGCTGGCCACTGAGTTAATCAGTTCACATGGGGGTGCTATTAACTGTTAATGCAGGCTCCTTGACCCTCACAAGAGCATGAAGTAAAAGATATGGCTGAATAATGCCCCTCACAGACACTCAGCCAATCAGAATTAAGCACTGGAGGCACACCCACTAGGGAGTAACCAATCATAATGAAGTGGTGGGCACTAGCCAGGCCACACCCAGTGACTCAGATGGCCAAGTCCATCTCAGGAACTGAGGAGCAGAGAGAAGACCTACAAACTTTGGGTTTGTGATGAGTTATGGACAGTGAAGGAGGAAAATGTGTGTGTGTGTGTGTGTGAGAGAGAGAGAGAGAGAGAGTGTGAGAGAGTGTGTGTGTGTGTGAGAGAGAGAGTGTGTGTGAGAGTGTGTGAGTGTGTGTGTGTGAGTGTGTGTGTGTGAGAGAGTGTGTGTGTGAGAGAGTGTGTGAGAGAGTGTGTGTGTGAGAGAGTGTGTGTGAGTGTGTGTGAGAGAGTGTGTGTGTGAGAGAGTGTGAGTGTGAGAGTGTGTGAGAGAGAGTGTGTGAGAGAGTGTGTGTGAGAGAGTGTGTAAGACAGTGTGTGAGAGAGTGTGTGTAAGAGTGTGTGTGGGAGAGTGTGTGTGAGTGTGTGTGAGTGTGTGAGAGAGTGTGTGTGTGAGTGTGTGTGAGAGAGAGTATGTGAGAGTGTGTGTGTGTGTGTGTGAGAGAGAGTGTGTGTGAGTATGTGTATGTGAGAGTGTGTAAGACAGTGTGTGTGTGAGAGAGAGTGTGTGTGAGTGTGTGTGTGAGAGAGAGTGTGTGTGAGTGTGTGTGTGAGAGAGAGTGTGTGAGAGTGTGTGTGTGAGACAGTGTGTGAGAGTGTGTGTAAAAGAGTGTGTGTGAGAGAGTGTGTAAGAGAGTGTGTGTGTGAGAGTGTGTATGTGAGAGTGTGAAAGAGTGTGAGTGAGAGTGTGTGTGATAGAGTGTGTGAGTGTGTGAGAGACAGAGAGAGAGTGTGTGAGTGTGAGAGAGAGAGACAGAGAGAGAGAGAGTGTGAGTGTCTGAGAGAGAGACAGGGAAAGAGAGAAGAGTGTGTGAGTGACAGTGTGTGTGAGAGTGTGTGTGTGAGAGTGTGAGTGTGTGAGAGAGAGACAGAGAAGAGTGTGTGAGTGAGAGAGTGTGTGGGTGTGTAAGAGAGTGTGAGAGTGAGTGTGTGTGAGAGAGACAGAGAATGTGTGAGAGTGTGTGTGTGTGAGAGAGAGACAGAGTGTGTGTGAGAATGTGTGTGAGAGTGTGTGTGTGTGTCTGAGAGAGGAGTGTGAGTGTGTGTGTGTGAGAGTGTGTGTGTGTGTGAGAGAGAGAGAGAGACAGAGACAGAGACAGAGACAGAGACAGAGACAGAGAGACAGAGAGAGGATTTAAAAGAAGGAGAAGTAATTGAGAGAGACGGAGGGGAGGGGACTCCAGGAAGCATGGAGAGGGGACGGGGCAGCCAGGCTATTCCATGGGAACGTGGAGGTGAGGTGGACTCTAGGTGGTGCCCTCTCCCTGCCTTGGGACGGCGTCATCAGCGTCTTGTACGTCATGTGGCTTGGACCCAGATGCTTGCAAAGCTGTACCTCTGAGCCCTGCCTCCCGCCGCTCACG